ACTACTTAGCGATAAAGTATAAACTCCAATCTTGGTGACAGGTGTAACTTTCCTATTCCCATGATTAAGTTTATTCTTCCTTGCTCCACATTCTCACTTCTTCCTAGTCCCTGCAAGTCACAAACAAATATGAATACCGCAACCGGTATCAAGGACCCAAGATTTCGAATGGGGTGAGTTATTAGAAATGATAGTGTAAATACCTGCATGGTTGGGTTTGACTTTCCCATCCTTCACATCCTGCTGGTACTTTGGGCAGTTCCGCTTCCAATGAGCTTTTTCATGGCAATAGAAGCATTCAGCCTCTTTTGGGTCAGAAGAAGGAGTAATGAAACCTTTCTTGGTTCCACTTGAAGAAGAGCCATCAAGGGTCCGAGCCTTGGTACCCTTCGAAGATCTCTTTCTCTTCCTCCCTCGACTTTGCCGATTGCCAAGACCGGAGTTGAGTCTGGAGTAGGAGTGATAGCAACCGACTTCCTTAAGACCTGTTTCTGCGGTCTTGAGAAGTCCCTGAAGTTTGCTGAGGGTGACCTCTTCCTTGTTCATGTGATATGTCATGCGGAATTGATCATAGCACGATGGTAAGGAGTGCAAAATGATATCTATTGCAAGCTCCTCAGGGAAGTTCACATTAAGCTTCAGCAAACGATCCACATACCTTTGCATTTTCTGCATGTGGCTCGTGACGGACTCTCCGTCCTTCATCATGGTTGTTATCATGGAGCAGATGACTTCGTACCTCTCTTGTCGTGCACTTTGATGGTATCTTTCCATCAAATCTTGGTGCATTTCATAAGGGTAGAAATCTTCATAAGACTTTTGGAGTTCAGCTGTCATGTGGCCAACATGATGCAAGCCACCTTGGTTGCATCTCTTTCATGAGTATGAAAGTCAGCGATCTCCTGGGGAGTTGCAGTGGACTCATCAATTTCCTTAAGCTCCTTGTCAAGGACATATTCTTTGTCCTCGTAGCGGGTAATCATCCTGATGTTTCTGATCCATTTATTGAAGTTGGATCCATCAAAGGTGACTTTCCCACACAAACTCATAAGAGTAAAGGAGCCATTAGGATTCGAGCCAGAAGCATTATTTGAAGACATCTGAAAAGGAAGGACAAGTTTAGTATAGATTTAAGAGAGTCCTTAATAAAACACCCAAATGTAATATTAAGGCTAGGATCCAATCACAATATAATATAACTTAGAAGAGGTATGCCGTAATCTAAGCTATACCATATTTGAAAGGTAGGTGAATGACGATTCACCAATTTCCACCACGAAAACCGAAATATTAGATATTTAGTTTTTATTGGTTTTAGAAATTCCTAGATTCTTTGAGATCCAATGAACTTTTCAAAGGCATGTTTCAATCTCGAGAGTGCCCTCCAAGTTTTGTGACTGGGATGCCGAGGATCACAAAACGAGGTGTGAAGTAACCATGCAAATCACTTGGTACCCTTAAAGTTTATCACTCAATCGATGTGCCGGTAAACCACACACGCTCCACCGATACTATAATAAACCTTAAGTCACCCTTTACCTACCTTGTTAAGTCCAAGTTAGTGTGCCGGTTAACCACACACGCTCCACCAACGACTTAGACAAAGTGTAAAGTGTAATTTCATGGATTAGCACCTTATTCACATTTTCCTAAAGTAACTAAGATTGGGAATTTAATAAACATTTAGTTACTTTATTATATTCATCATACTTTGAATGAGAATTTATAAGTCCTTGTCTTACCCGTTCGGCTAACGACCCTCCACCAGTCAAGCAAGCGGTGGGTGAGAAGTAACACCCATTAAGTCACCATTTTATAGGCAACAACCTTATACCCACCTTATAGACCGGCTTCGTGAATGAGGCGTACTAGCGGTAAGACGACTATTCTTATACATATAATATATATATATATATATATATATATATAATTATTAAATCATCATAATATAAGTATAAGGGTTGAATTTTAACTTTTAAAATTCTAGGGGTTGGAACTTAAAGTTTTAACTTAACTTTACTTGTTCCAAAACTTGAGGGCAAGTTTTGTAACTTTCAAAACTTTTCATTTCTTGTAACTTATGAGTTTAATAGAGTAATAAAATGAAGACTCTTCATTTTTCTAACTCTTGTATTTGTTTTAATGGTTTTAATTCAAGTGTGACTCTTGGTTTTCCATAACTTAAGGATAAGTTATGGACTCCATTAAAACACATTATGATCAAGAATTAATCTACCACATAGGTTACAAATAATTCCTATGATCATCTAAAACATCATAAGAACAAGAACATGAATATGAACACAATCAAAATTACATTTAAAACTTTGTAATTTTGATAACTAGTTGTTGTAAATGAATTAGCAAAGACATTACACCACCAAAAACAAGTTTTCAATTACCAAAACAGTTTAGGGTAATGTTTCTAATTCATTTCCAGCAACTAAATCGAAATTCTGCATCAGTCGACCCTACTCGCCGAGTGCATGAACTCACTCGCCGAGTTGGTTGAAGATACTCATGAACTCGACGAGTCCCCCCTATAGACTCGACGAGTCCATTCGCAGACAGCAAGATTTCCGATTCTGTTTTTCAACTTTTAAGCACAAATAAGAGCAAACAAGCCTAGGCTCTGATACCACTGATGGGTTTTGAGCATTCTAACACTTCCTAAGTGTACATGCAACCCTAATAACCTTGGATCTATGTTTGTCTAATTATCATGCAAAGTTGAATTCCAAGGTTATATTCCTATCTAGCATACATGGGAACAATTTTACATAAAGTATAGATAGAATAACTTACCTTGTTGTTGTTTGTGTTCCTTGAAACCTTGTGAGCCTAGCACCCCAAGTGTGATGCCTCAAATGCTTCACACAACACCAAATGCTCTTGGAAGAACTTATGAGAGAACACACACTTCTCAAAATCGGCCAAGCCCTCTTGTTTCTTAGTGTAGCCGATTTTAGGTGGAGAACATGTTACTTATATAGTGTTGACACATCTAGGGTTAAACCCTAATGTGTCATGACTCTTCATTTCCATGACCCATGGGTTTGTAACTCCCATGGAGCATCCTATGTGTGGAACCCAACTTGATAGTCCATGGAGCCTTTTAGCCCACTATACAAGATATGGATGATTTACATAATCAACCCATATATTTAATTAGTTATCTTTTGATCACTTAATTAATTCTAAATTAATTCTTGATCAAACTAATCAAATAATATTATTAATATATTAGAACTTATAATATATTAATAATCTCCAAGTGTTATTTCTCTCATTTAGTCTATCCAATTGCATGATGCCATGCAACCCAAATGGACCATGCCGGGTCGGGTCAAGTACATACCAGAAATAGTTATGGACTTAGACACCTTATCCAACATCTTACTCATGTCATATTAAGTTTCAAAGAATCATTTTAATTTTGATGTTGAAAAAATGTAACCAAAACCTTAAAAGATGTGAGTACAATTTAAACTATTTGAGAAAATGAAGATACTAAATTTAACGAGTGGGTCATTTTTTAACTTCAATACAGTCAAATTTGCCAATAACTTCTCACTTTCTCACTTTCATTAGTGGGTTACTTTTAAACTTCAGATTGCAAGAACAATTTGCAATTAAATGAAAGTATTTGCTTGAACTTGTAAGAGTTGCTGAACATATAGGATATTGGGCTATATTTGCTGCTCAAGATGATTGTAAAACCTATTGTAACATGTTTTTGGTTTCTGCATCCTTCTTCTCCAATCATCATAGGTGCTCTGCTGGAAACCATTTTATGTTCTTGTTGTATGTTCAGTTCAAGTTTATGTATACCGAGAAGATCAAAATTTAAGGTACGACTATTCAATTTTTTTTATATGACTTAAAGAGTGCACATCATGTGTTTGAGAAAATGCATAAATGATTCAAATGGTTTTAAAGGTTATAGGGTGTCATTTCTTTCTCCTTATTGTATCTCCACTCACTGTAACTATTGTGGGTTGGTAAGGCAAGATTGCAAGTATCGTTTTTTTTTATCAATCATATGTATATTAGATTTATAAATGACAAAATAAAAAATATTGTGGACATTATAATTGGTTTTTTCTGGAAAATTATGGATGATTACAAATGCTTTTTAGTCATTTCTTGTATAAAATTACCTTTTTAGTCTTTATCAGGACTACATTTGTTTGGATGAGATTTGTTCGAATAAGGAAATAAATAGTAGAATTAAAGGGATTTTGTTTTTGGTTTAGCTGTAGAATGTGTTTGTATTTTCATTTTTTTCTTCTGATAGACAATCTGATTTGGGCAAAATGTGAAACTACAGAGGAAAACAAGATTTCTAGTATTTTGCATTTTTGATTCATAACATGCTGTTAACATGACCATTTTTAAAGCATGTTGTACAAGTAATTTAAGTTTTATCTTTTGTATGAACGATGTACATTTCTAACTCAAGAAATTCAATAGCGATCGGTAATAGAAGTATAAGCTACTAAAATAGTTTTTCTTTTGTGCTGTTTTTATTAAGGAATTCAACAGAAAGTGTAAGATACGATTATTTTCCAAAAATAATCTTGTGTTCTTATCAAATCCAAACACAATAACATACTTTCATTGTACTTTACAGTTTGAGAACATAGTGCGGAGCAAACGAATCGTCAATAATCACCTTAATCCTTTTTAACCTAATGTCTTCCATCGGTTTTCTTCACTGTTACCAAATCCAAACCCGACAAAGCTTAATACTAAAATTTTGCTTGGTGCTGTTAAAATTTGGATAGTTGGAACTATAAAACTATTATTTTTTTATTAAATCCAAACAATCTTTCATTTTTTTTTTATTAAATCCAAACAATCTTTCATTAACTTGCAACTAAAACTAATATTCAACAATCTTTTAATTCTTCTAATTTCAAAAATACAATGCTCCATCAAAATCAAATCCATGTCTCAAACTCCCCCATTCCCATTCCCATTCCCACTCTCAAATTCCTTTATCAACTCGGGATCAACATTTTCTTCTGGTTCCCATGTTGCTTCTTCAAAGTCAGCCCATTTTACTAAATACTCCTTTTTCCCTTCCTCGCCGGAATCCCTCTTTCCCACCACAAGCTCCGCCACTGCGTATTCCAATCCATCTTCAAAATCTTTAACCAAGTCATCGGCGATCAATGCAGCTTTAATCCACTCATTATCTTCACCATCTTTCCATTTCACCAAGTACTCAACGTTATTACCTTTCCCTCTTTTCTCTAAAATCTCCTCAACTTCCGCGTATTCAAATATTGCCCCCTCTAAAATCCTAATTACACTTTCTAACCCTAATCTTCTAGCAAATTGCACTGGGTTCCCCTTAGGTGTTGCCTTTAAAACCTCACGCGCCAAATCTAACGGTGTCCGTCCCTTGTCATCTCCCGCCTCCGGATCCGCCCCAAACTCCACCAACAGCTTCGCCACTCCCGGCCGGACGTATCCCGCCGCCATGTGTAAGGCAGTCAATCCTCCGCCGTTATCACGGTGGTTTACATCGGCGCCAGCCTCCAGTAACGTTCTGACGCATGATTCAGACCCTAGACCGGCGACAAAGAGTAGAGCTGTCCTGCCGTCGCCATCTACGGCGTCCACATCTCTGCCGTCTTCTGACTCGATAATTTCCTTTAACGCACGATCGTCGGCTTTCTTTGCGGCGACCCACCATGGATTATCGTACTCGGCGACCACGTCACCTGCGATTAGATTTCCCGGCACCCATGTCGGCACGTGATCGTCTTCCCATTCGATTAGGTACTCCATTCCGGCGCCATTTTCAAGTGCTCTGCTTCCGATGATTTTTTTAACCTCTCCGTAACTTTCCTCTTCGTCGTAGTTGGTGAACTGAATTGGGTCTGATTCTGATTGTGGTTGGTCTTCGAGGACGGATGCAGCGGTGGAGACAGATAGATTGAATGGATGATATTGGGGTTGAAGACGGAGGTAGAAAGAAAGGGATAGAGATGGCGGGGTTGTGGGGTGGAGTTTATAAGGCAGCTTGAGGCGGGAGATAGTTGGATTAACGACGAGGCCGTCCATTTGATGGTGGCGGAATGACGGAGGAGATGTTGCGGATATTGATTGGGGGATGCAGGTGTAATCCAAGAAAGATGATAGGATAAGAAATCCCATCCAATTCACACATGGGTGGGCTTCGGGCCCTTTTGGGGATGAAGCTATTTTTGTAATTTTCCAGAACTCTCGTTTAAGAAAATTATATATATATATATATATATATATATATATATATATATATATATATATATATATATATATATATATATATATATATATAAATTTGTTAATTGCTAATGTATTTCTAAAAATATATTTTTAAAATTAATATTTAAGGGCATAAAGTATAAATTATATTTAATGCGAATTATATAAGTTTAGTTAAAATTTCGATTTTGACATTTTTATAGGTAATATTAATATATTAGAATTTAGTTATCACAATATATCGATTGGTAAGGTAAATGGGCAACAAGCTGTATGGTAAAGTTAATTCTTTTGAAGACTACATTCATAGATCTATGAGATATAATATTGTTATGTATGATCCGTTGTACTCTATTAAGAAGTTTCACAGTATCCGACGCAAGGAAACCAAACGTATCAAACTCAAATGGTATGAACATGTGTTGATTTTTCATGCACGACTTCTCATGCTTTGTGACATTGCGTGTAGCAGTTTTTAAAGTAGTTTGGCTCACTGTGAAACCCCCAACCATCAAGCCCACGAGAGGGGATACCTCTGTAAGGTACACACATGCGTGTTTCCATCCAACTCATCCAAAATTCAAAACGTCAGCCGATCTAAAGGTTGACTTTCCTTTTGCCGGGTCAGTCAAGAAATTCACAAGTGCCTCTTTATTGGCGAAAATCCTTGCATGCTTAAATATGTCAAATAAAATATCCCTAACCATATCATGTTTGTATTTGAACCCCAGGAGTTATTTACAGTGCACTCATGCTCTCCAAAACAGTCCAAACATGTTTTGCGGTACACTGGGCATATCTCTTATGACAACCCGATTTTTTTTTTGCTTTGTGAGTCCAACAGTCAACTCAATTGAGTGTCAGACTCGTTCCTTCTATCATTTAGCCTTGTTTAGAGTCCGTTCAAAGGTTCAAAGCTCAGTATATTCAAGCATTGAGTAAAGGATTGGATCGTGTACACGTAAAACACCAAAATCCAACCATACACTATGTTTGAGGGAGTGTACATCCGTACTCATGAGTGTACGACTATACACATGAGTGTACGGACGTACACCCATGTTGGGCTGTACACACCCCTCCATATGTATGTATTCCCTTCATTTTCAAGTCATTCTTCAGTTTCAAGGTCAAGAACATCGATTTCTCTCTCAACTATCATCCATTTTTCATCCCGATCTTCAAGAATATAACCCTTTCATCCATTTTGATTTGTTGTTAATCCTTTTAAACTAGTAACACCCTCTTGATCCATTCATTAACAACATATTTTGGCTAGATCTTCAAGCCTCACCAAGAACACCAAGAACATACACTTGTTTTTGGTGATTGTGAACCCTTTTGAGCCTTCATAAAGTAAGTACTCCTTCCCCATGCTTAGTACATGATAGAACACTAGATTAACACCTTGAAAATTCCCATAATTCATGAACATGAGGTGTGTACGACTGTACACCCATGTGTGGCGGTACATCCCTCAAAACACCCTTAAAGGGGCCTTTAAAGTGTATTCCAACTTCACTACTTGAAGAGAAATTGTCCCACAAGCATCCCTACCCTTGGAACATGATTTTGTACACTTGTTACCATGAGTGTATGGCTGTACACTCCCTGGTCGTACACTCCTGGCCGCACACTCCTCCATGTGGTCGTACACTCCCCCTTTAGTGAATCACATGTGATTCCAATACTTGGTCAAGGGTGTTTCCTAGTCTCGTGAAGTGTTTCCTTGCATTTGGTTGCTTCTAAACGCTATATTTATGTCAATATATGCCATTATATGTCATTTAGGACTCGTTAAGTCTCGGGAATTCATTCGTGGAGCTTCTCATCCTTACACGCGTATTCGTTTGATTCACCCACATTAGGTGAGTTCATACTCCGTAATCAATCTTTTAAACTGTTTTAAATGCTTTTAAGGGGGGATACAAGTTGAACACAATTGATAATTGTGTAATTGTTTGTCAAAACATCTTTCAAAGGTTGCTTATGTCTTTTATGAGTGATCAAAACATTTCAAAAACTCTTTTAAAGTTATGTTACTTTTTAGTTTAACAAAACTCCATTTTTAAAGTACAAGCATAACTTAGTAGTAAAATGAGTCTTTTCAATTACAAGTTCAAGTAAAATACTAGTAAACTATAATGGGTATAGTTTAGAGAGTCAGTTCATACTAGATACAATACACGATAACATAAGAGAACACACAATAAAGAGAAACAGGGAGGAAGATACAATACACGATAACAGAAAGAACATACTAAGATACTATAACAGAACAAACATAATAAGGTGCTATAGCATGGGACAACTACAGGATCTAATTATACCAATGAATCACTAACGCATTGTTCTAAACAAAAGGTGATAGTTATATTGGGTATACATGATCACATAATTTTAATGTGAAGTTACACGACCTAGCAACTCGTTTTCTGAAGTCGCGTTTGGTTCCCAGAATCTTTTGACAGGAGAGCATTTAGTATGGGAACTAGCCTTCACATTATGACCTTAATAAAACAAGCATGTTTTAAGGTAATTAGTACGATCAGTATGTCAATTCATAACACAACTGAGTACTTATATTTTTCCCATTACTTTCATAAAGTGATAGTTCCACTTGAAAGTTAATGCAAACTATTTTCGAGTCAAGATAGTTATAAACTAGGGAAAAACTTACATCTTTTCAAACGACAAACAGAACAGTCGGGTCTAGTACATTCAGTGGAAAGGGACCATAATGCTAACTTTATGATTCCTTAATGTATGCATCAAGATATATATATATATATATATATATATATATATATATATATATATATATATATATTGATAATATATGATAGGTAATAGGATGTATGCTTTCTGCTTTATTTCCTGTTCCTTGTTTGGTTGTGGGCTTAGAGCGGATTCATCCAGCCTATTATCCATTTGATAGTAGTTATATATATGTTCTGTATACATTAAGTCATCATAAGGAGTACCAGGTATGGGTCAGGTCATAGGACACTAATTCAATGCACAATTTCTAGTACAAAACATACTTTTCAAATTAGAACTTTGGATATACAAAACTAGAAACTTACTGGTAAAGGGTTTAATCCATTTTATTAAATCATCATTTAAAGGACCTTAGGTAGTTAACTTTATAATACATTAGTTTATACATCGAAGGTTATATATAATTAATATCCAATAGGTAGTTGGATGTGTGCATTCCGCCTCATTCTCTGTTCCTTGTTTGGTTGTGGCTTAGGTCAGATTCACACAATTAACTATTTGTTTGATATTAGATTATATATAGCTAGTATAAACTAAGTGATTATAGAAGGAACCACTGTGGTTACTATATTATCATAAGAAATAAGGGTTTTATTAAAGAATCTTTTCATAAATTATAAAGGAACTATTACAGTTAACTTCGTGAGTACCAAGGGAATACACCAGGGTTATATACAACAATGATCTAACAACCAATGAGATGTGTGTCATCCGCCTCAATCTCTGTTCCTTGTTTGGTTGTAGGCTTAAGGCAGATACACACAATTGATTGCTTTTTTACTCTAAGTTTTATATAACTTGTATCCATTTAGTACTCATAGAAAGGATTGTAGAGTCATTTTACTTATGTTTCACCAAAGCAGGAAATATAGGATTTTCTGGACGAACATGCTAACTTTTCTAAACATAACTTACAACTTGCATAACTTACAACTTACTACATTTTACAACAACTTTCTACAACTTACTCATATCACTAAAATCTTATGAACTCACCAGCTTAATTGCTGATAAACTCTTAAAATAACTTGTATTTTTAGGGAACTAGTAGACAGGTACTCGCGCTGGGAATTCAGAAGATGGAGCAGTATAGCTCCAAGTCTTGTTTTTTTATTTGCTTATGTACTCTATGTTTTGTGAACACACACATTGTAAACACTTTCTTTCTAACGATATGGTGGTTCATTACTTTGCTTACTATGATGTATGTCTTGTGATACTAAACATGACGTCCTCCACCCTCGAACGTTTCCGTCGTTTCGGTTTTGGGGTGTGACATCTCTTTATCTGGAAAAATTGAGATCATGAGCCGATATTTAAAAATAATACAATACTCCACAGGAGACATATGTTGGACAAACACATCTATTTTTTTCTCAGTTAAGTAACTAAGTTTACAACGTTTTTGGAAATTTAACAAACGAACTGGTTAGTTCCAGATGTTTTATTTTTCTCACTTGCTAACTAGGCAAAAAAAATGATGTGGCTTCCACATATGATCTTATTTGGCAATCATTTTGGTTAAATAGAAACCTTACGTAGATTTATACACATTTTTCCTAATTTCTTCTTCTTTTCTTCTCTTATAGAATGATGATTTTGTGTAATGACTTTACAAGGTAGCTCAAGTGGTTCATAATCCAAGAGCGATGTAAGCAAAGTAATGAAGGTTTTCCACAATAACATACTCTAATGGAAACCTTTATTACTTTTTTTACACCATCATGATATAACGAACGAACCACTTGAGCGACCTTGGGAAGCATTAAACAAAATTGTGATGCTCTGAAAGAAGAAAAGAAGAAAAATAAAGGAAAGAGAGTATATATATGCATAAGGGTTCAATTTAATCTAAATATTTGCCAACTTTGATCATATATGGAAATAACATCAACTTTTTTCCTAATCAGTAAGTGAAAAACATAAAACACTTGAAAAAACAAATTGGTTGATTGATTAAATTTGCAACAAAATTATAAACTTAGTAATTTAATTGATAAAAAAAACACCATATCATAATCAAATGTTTGTATAAAATTAGTGTATTTTATGTAATTTTCCCTTGTAGTTAAGAAAAAAACTTAGCTATTAAATAAAACCCATATAAAATTATGTTGATCTTATATAAA